CCATGTGCCCATTGCCACCTCCTGTACCTGGAGGTAGTGTGATCTATTGAATGTAAAGACATTTCGGGTGACAATATGTTTCAAAAGCTTAAATATGAATGAGTTATACTGCCTCTGTGTCTGTGGGTGCCCCTGCAAAAACTCTTATCATGGGGATACTACTATATAGGTTCTCTATATCAATCGCTACCAGCCAGCAATTTGTGGGTACATTCAAATCTTCTATTACCTTTAATAATTCAAGAGTGTCCTTTAGATACGAGGAGAGGGACAACACGCGTGGTCTTAAATACTCATCGATTAGTATGTTCAGGTTTTCTGATTGGCAACCAATTCCTAATATTATCGGGTGATCTGGAGGACTTATGGAATCTTTATGTACTTTGGGTAAGGCACAGAAACAGGGTATCCTTGAATGTTTAACTTCCATGTACTCTAATGTATCTTTGTTGATCAATGCTTGTGCAGAAGCTCCATGTATAATAGCTATGTACTCCAGGAGGTACTCATTCACTTCCTGTGTTGTAATTATTTTATATTATTCTTTGTTCTCCAATATTTTCAGGCATATCTGCTCATATTGGGAGCAGTTCATTACAACTATATTTCCCCCTTTGTCTGTTGAAATTGTCCTCTAATTTCTTCATGGCCATGTTATGTTTTGGGGTAAAATTCATATGTCTTGTTTCTTTATGGTTATGGTTCTCCTTTGCACTGGACAGTTCGTAGTAATCATATGAAGCTGATAGTAAGCGCATTCACACATAAAAGGTTGAACAATATATGTAAATGCAAATGTATTAATGTGTAGAAGTTATATGATATGGATATTTATTGTTGGATCATGTGTTTCTATGAACAATGTACCACCGATTCATTGATGAAGCATTCTGTGAAACGCATCGGAAGCATCACATGCCACTAGAAACAACTGAATGTACATTTTGAGATTGTGATTGAGCTACATTCTATGCCTGTACATATGTTCACTACTCAGATACTCAGGTACCATGTGGCTGTGGGAGGTATTGTTTAACCTGGTGCATTGAAAAGCTTAACAACCTTAAATACAAGCCAATAAATATTTACTTCTTTCAGAACTGACTGAATCCTCTGCCATGGAATCAGCAATCAGAATGGATAGCCCAATCTGCCTCATTGAGAACAGGATAGAAAGAGGAAGAGCAAAGCTTGTGGTGAACCCTGAGGCCGTCAACATCCTCTCCAACATCCACCAACCAGTGGTGGTGGTGTCCATTGTCGGCATGTATCGGACTGGAAAGTCATACTTGATGAACAGGTTGGCTGGAGCTCAGAAAGGTGAGTGGTCAGCTTTTAGA